CTTGTTGATTAAAATCACCCCAAAATCACACCTTGATTGGAAGAGAGAGGGAGAGAGAGAGAGAGAGAATACGAAACAATTGGAAAAGTTTCTCAATAGTCAAATTCTACTTCGCTATTATCTTTCAATATTTTATTTAACTATAGTTCAACCCCACAACTTTCCTAAGCTTATCAATTTCACCCTCAAACTTCTAATTCTTTACTTAAGACCCTAATAAGAAAACATGGATATCACAAAAGCATGAGAGGTTTTAACTTTACAGAGTGAGGCCAAAACCGCAACGGATTTTCTGTCCCATACCTTGTGTCACTCTCTGCCCCACTTTTTATTATATTGTTATTTCTCCTACATAAATATCATGTTTTAGTTCTTTTTTGTTTCCTTAAGATCCAATAATTAATTGAGTAATACGCAAAATTTAACATACTCAAAAAATCAAAATGCATTAAAAATGAGATTTTTTAATGAATTTTCTGCTATATTTTTTAATTTTCTATTATATATTGCTTTTTTGAAGCTGCTCAAAATTTAACATACTCAAAAAATCAAAATGCATTAAAAATGAGATTTTTTTATGAATTTTCTGCTATATTTTTTAATTTTCTATTATATATTGCTTTTTTGAAGCTGCTGTATTTATTTTTTACTCAATTAATAGTTATTGGATCTTAAGGAAACAAAAAAGAACTAAAACATGATATTTATATAGGAGAAATAACAATATAATAAAAAGTGAGACGGAGAGTGATACAGAGTATGAGACAGAAGATCCGTTGCAGGCCAAAACTATCTTCTTTTAGTTTCAATAGAATGTGTGGCAACAACTTGAAAAATAGAATGAAATAGAGGCGGGAGATGGACAAAGAAATGCCAGAAATCAGAGTGCCGTAATTATGCGGCTATACCATGGGCAAAGAAGAAATTTCCACAATTATGATGAAATTCTAAATCATCCTACAACAAAAATGATTTTGGTTGCATGTTCTAGAAGAAAGGTGCTTGCATTCCGATGCATGTAGATAGAGCATCGACCCTATAGTTTAGAGGTTTCTAGATGTGATCTTCATTCCTCATGTATCCAGTAGCCCACATTCCTAGGATTATTTTATTGTCTTCTACATTATTCATAACACCCTAAGTGCGAGATTATATAGGGGTAGGACCTATGGCCTTGTTTGGCAGACAAGTTTTTTTTCAAGTTTATTTGCTACAAGTTTTTTAAAAATTTTAGCTACAATAACATCAAAAAACTTCTCACGGTTTTTAAACAATACATTTCAAAATATTCAAAAATTTACACATTTCAAAATTTTTTTTAAAAACCTCTACAGTAAGTTATAGTAAAATTTTAGACAAATACCAAAAAAACTCACTTGCCAAACGGGACCCTAATATGAGGAGAGTTTTCGGCTCCTGAAGATTGGTTGATGTCTTAGGTACTGTGCAACTTGTGTGTTTGTTTATATAGCTATATGTTGCCAAATAATATTTCGCTTGTTTCTTAAATATATTTTTCAAACCATCTTTTTATGTCGCATATATTATATTATAAAAAATATTACAGTATTTATTCTAAATAATATTTCAAATAATACTCTATCCAAGCACTCTCATTAACTCTTGTGTCCCACCTTGCATTACTAGCAATATTTCGCGTGCTTTGCACACAATTTTATCACCCTAAAATATAGTACTGTTAGATATTAAATTTTTTCTTAATTTTGATTGTCAATTGCATACTATAATATTTCAATATTTTTATTGTTAACCAATTATGTTGAATGCATTAAAGTCATAATTTGACTTTTTTTTGCCTTTAGAGAATTTATATTTTTTAATTGTGACAAACAAATATCAATGCAATCATGTTATATCAAAGTTATTGTACACTTTTAATATCATTATAATTAAACTATATAAAGAGTAAAATGTAACATCAATTTTAAAAGGAATAAGAGCAAATGAGTTTGTTTATATTAATTATGTAATTTAAACTCAACTATCATATTAGGGTCAATTTTAAAAACTCCCCCTAAAGTATATCTATTTTTGACTTTGCCCACAACATTATTTTTTTTCACTTCATCTCCTAAACTGTTAATTGACTCCTATGTTGTGTGATGGTAATGTCAAAAGGATATTTATACCCTTAATAGTTAAATGCAGTAATTCTCCTATCTTATTTTACATTTTATGTTAGTCACTATTTTTTCTCAACTTGTTTATTTGTCACTAAAATCTTTAGTCAACTCCAATATTTTATAACATGAGGACAAATAATGTCTAAAAAATCAATATCCCTAGCATAGTATGAAAAAATTATGTGTTTGGATAGGAGATTATTTGGAATAATATTTTGAAAAAATATTGTAGCAGTGTTTTTAATGTGATGTATGTGAGATAAAAAGATGGTTAAAAAGATTTTAAAAAATGGTTAGAAAATATGTTTGTGATGCAATCAAAAAAAATTTGGCACATAAACCACTATCCAAACACACTATACTTATAGATGTGGTCCTAGTAAATTTCATCCCACCTCTTTTAGATTGAGAGAAACATCTTACTAATTTCATGTAATAATGAGAAAAATAACAAAATTTGTTATTTGAAAAATTAATATGTGAAATTATAATGAAAAGTTTAAAAATGCTTGCATATTATCTGTTTCTCTTTATGAATATGCATATAGTTTTGCTTTTATTTTAATAGTTAGATATTTTCTTTATATGGGTGTATACATTTTTTTGTTAGTAATACTTAAAAAATGGAGAAGCATGGTTGATTTGGCTTTCAAAATTTTTAGGATCGTTTTTTAATATAGCATGATTAGACGCTATTAAAAATTATTTGAATTTCTAAAAAAAAATTTTATTGCATCATAAGCACGTTTTTCAATCATCTTTTTTTTTTAATCATATTTTTATTTCACAAATATCAAATTGCAAAAAGTATTACAATATTATTTTTAAAAAATTTTCAAATAATCTTCAGGGAAAAATGGCCAATTTAGTCCCCATACTTTCAGACTTATGCCGATTTAGTCTCTTTATTTTATTCTTGGCCAATTAGATACCTTAACTTAAGATGCAAGTCTAATTGAGGCCCTTCGTGGTGGCGCCACCAGGAAATGTCAACCAGGAGTGAATTGACTGTTGGGCTACTTTCAGAATATCACTTATGGGGCTTTAATAAAGCCAACTAATTCATAAGGTAGAAATTTTCACATCCCGGGGGTAGAAAACACCCAAAAGAATATGCAAAAAAACATAGTAGTAACATGCAATCTCGTCTCCAAGTTAGGTTCTTCCATTGTCTCCAAGGCAGCCTCATCTACTATCTTAGATTTGGGAGTTGGGGCTTGGAGAATTTCCTTCATCTTTAAGCTTATGATTCGGCTCATTTGGGCTCCGCCAATTTTTAATCTCTCGCCGAACGAGGATGAAGCCATTTTTAGTTTCTCCAACTTGTCCATTTTTTGTTTCTTTTTTCTTTTACTTGGGTTTGAATCTCTTTATGATGCTGGGAAGAGTGGTGGTAAGTGGGGGAAACTTTGAATAGCTCAAACCCCAGAGAGGGCAGGATATTTTTTGGCCTAATGGGAAGGATTTTGATACCATAGTTACGCGTGTCTACATTTTGAAAAGCGGTGGTGGTCGATGGCGAATTAGGTGGGGAGAAACTTTGAACAGTGAAAGCTCCTCACTTTTATTTTAGTTTTGTTACCGTATGAATTAGTTGGCTTTATTAAATCCCCATAAGTGATATTCCAAAAGTAGCCCTCTCTATGTGGTCAATTTCACTCCTGCTTGACATTTTCTGGTGGTGCCGCCGCGAAGGGCCTCAATTGGACTTGCATATGAAGTTAAGGTATCTAATTGACCAAGAATAAAATAAAGGGACAAAATCGACACAAGTATGAAAGTATAGGGACTAAAGTGACCATTTTCCCTAATCTTCAGTCCAAACAAACCCAATCTATAGACCTTTAATAATATTTTTATTGTTTATTATTTCACTAATAATTTTTATTTTTCCCTTATATATGTAAAATGAGCAAGATATTTTACGTCTATCTAAAAACCTGTAAATATGGAGATAAAATTTAATAAGACCTATATTCATAAATATACAATAATTTTTATTATTATGTTAGGGATACTGATTTTTTAAATATTATCTGTCTTGAGTGGTTTTAGAAACAAACAAACAAATTAAGAGAAAAATAATATTAGATGGTAAAATGTGAAACATGCTGTACCTTAAAGGGATTTATTGGAATTAATCCTTTGGGGTATAAATATCTTTTTGACATTTTCATTACACAATGTTGGAGTTGACTCACGGTTTTATGAGATAAAGTGAAAAAGTATGTTAGGGGATAAAGTGCCAAATTAGTTAAACTTGAAGTATGTGATTAACCCATTTCTCTCTTCGTCCTGCTCCCGACAAACTCACTCCGGCTAAAGTTTGAATTGGAAACGTCAAACTTGAACCCTTAAAAAAAGGAAAAGCAGATTTGACTAAAATACTAAGGGTAGGGTTGTTTTTTAAAAACAGCACTATAGCATTTCGTTTTTCAAATATAACCCCGTTTGAATTAGTTATTTTTGAGATTATTTTTTAAAAACTATATGAAAAACTTTAGATTTTAGATTTTAGTTTTATCAAATGCACCATGAGTATTATGGGCTGTATAAGAGTTCCAAATTTAGAATTGTTTTTACAAAAATTGATTAAAGGAATTGAAAAAAAAAAAGAATTATTCTATTCTAAAGCTCATGATCAAAATTTTACAAAGAATTTTAATATCTCACAAATGTCATATTTTGAATTAACACAATTGCGTGTAAGCACGTGGGATCGAAAAAGCATTGACCCCACCGCCATTGCTCAAAACAATTGCCATTCATCAGTAGTAGTACCAACCTTGCAACAAATCTCTTCCACCGGAGAGAAATCTTTCTCACGCACTCTCCGTCTTTGCAAAGGAAGACCCAATGGCGGATGCATTTCTTGGTGCCACTATACAGTTTCTAGAGGGGAAAGCAATAACCTTGGCTTCCCAGCAGATTAGCCTTTCTTTAGCCTTTAAGAAAGATTTGCCGAAGCTGAAGAAAACACTTACCAAGATCCAAGCTGTTTTTCATGATGCAGAGCAAAAGCAAGTCACCCTCGAGTACGCGAAGCTTTGGTTGAAGGAACTTGAAGACGTGGCTTTTGATGCTGATAATTTGTTGGATGATCTCAATTATGAAATGATTCTGCGCAAAGTTGAGATTCAGAAACAGGTGAAGAGGAAGGTATACTTCTCCTTCTCACTCTTCAATCCCATCAGATTTCGTTTCAAAATGGCAAATAGAATTCGAACAGTCACTATGAAATTGAAAAGAATTAATGAAGAAGCAAAGGGCTTTGGCCTCCAGTCACAAAATGGAGGATTAATGAAGAACAGAGAGACTAACTCTGTTACTATTGATTCAAGCTTTGTTGGAAGAGATGATGACCTCTCGATAATAGTGACAGGGTTGACTGCTGCGAGTAAAAATGAAATAGTCCTGGTTATTCCTATAGTTGGCATGGGCGGGATTGGAAAGACCACCTTGGCTAAAAAAGCTTTTAATGATCTAAAGATTGAAAATCATATTTTGACAAGAGAAAATGGGCATACGTATCAAAAGATTTTGATGTCAATAGGCTTTTTAGTTCGATTATAGAATCATTGCAAGTCTAAAAACCCGAAGCTGAGAATAAAAAGTCCAGAGTCAAGCTGCTAAAAGAATTATTGGATGGCAAAAAGTATCTACTGGTTCTTGATGATGTGTGGAATGAGCAAGCCACACTATGGAATGATTTTCTTGGGTCTTTGAAAGGTATCAGCTCATCCAAGGGGAATTCCATTCTTATGACCACCCGTCACCAACAAGTGGCAGCCATGACAAGAATTTCTTCTCCTCCATGTTCTTTGAAAAAATTGCCAGATGATGAATGCTGGCTCATTCTCAAAGAAAATGCATTTGGTGCTGGGAAAGTGCCGGATGGAATGCAAGACATAGGATACGGGATTGCAAAAAAATACCAAGGTGTACCATTAGCTGCAAGTGTACCCGGCGGCATATTGCGCAACAAGGGAAGTGTGAAAGGCTTTCAATTTTGGAGACTGGCCTTCAAAATTTAGGTGGAGATGAAAAGTTGAGTGTTCATCATCTTCCATCTCCATCGCTGAAAAACTGCTTTGCGTATTGTTCAATTTTTCCCAAAGACATTGAAATAAATAGGAGTCAGCTACTTCCAACTTTGGGCAGCAGAAAGATTTCTTCATTCAAATCCAAGAAACAATATGGAGATGGAGGAAGCTGGAGAAATGTTTTTTTCGATTTTGTTGGATACTAACTTGTTGCAAGATGCTGTGAAGGATGAGTACAGGAATGTCTTGAATTGCAAAGTGCATGATCTTGTGTATGATTTGGCATTATCCATCTTCAATTATAAACCCTTAAGGTTGAAAGGAACTAGAACGTATTACGACGAGACCCTTTCTATTCGGTATCTTGCAACGGAGAAAAGTGACGAAGAAATACCATTTCCTTTGCATGAGAGTTTCAGGTACGTTACGACATTATTCTTGTCTGCAAGCACTTGAGCATCTCATTTTGTCAAACATTTTGAATCTAATGGAATGGATGGAAGCAGCATTTCATGATGAAAAAGATGATGGTATTTCCTGTTCTTGAGAAGTTAGAGATTAAGAATTGTACGCAATTAGCCATTGCTCCAAGTCATTTTCTGATTCTCAAGGAATTTCATGCCAAGGACATCAATCATGGATCAACCATAATAGCAAATATTTGCAGTCGAGTCAGCGCTTTTACCAGTCTGTCAATTTGGAATGTCAAAGAGCTCACCAAGCTATCAAATGTGTTATTCCAAAACAATCCGAATATTGCATTTTTCAAGTTGTACAATTGCCATGATTTGGAACAGTTGTTGGATTTCAGCTCTCGTGTTCAAATCCAAAATTGCCAAATAGTACCCGAGTTGGACCAATCATATAGTAATGTTGACAATATTAATTCTCAAGATCTGGTTGGTCTTAGACTCTTAGGTCACTAGAGACCAGTAGATTTCCGTATTTGAGAATATACTAGAGACCAGTGTTATTCCGTAGATTTCCGTATTCTCAAGATCCGTATTCTTAAGATTTCCGTATTTGGTTGGTCTTAGGTCACTATTAATTCACGAATCTTCTTAGTAAAAAGGGAGGAAATTTCCGTATTTTGGTGCTCGAATTTTATATCCTTTCCAGTAGATTTAGACCGAACACTTTCCTTCTCTATTCTAGACATACTATTGGAAATTAGTTTGTAGTACGGAAATTGATCTAGACTTGTGACATGATTTTTCTTATCATGTCTAGGAGTTTGATTCATGAATTTCCTATAAAGTTAATTGGTATTTTGATGTATCTTCTCAAGTTTATTAGTTCATTTATGGAACCACTTAATTCATGTACTTGGTGTACTAAATTCATAAATAGATATTAAGTGAAAATACATCTTCACACTGATGTATCTTCTCATGTTCATTAGTTCATCAAACTACTCAATTAATGTATTTAAAGTACTAAATTCATGAATAGACATTAAGTGAAGATACATTGTTGTATCTTTTCAAATTTATTAGTTCATATATTTGGTGTACTATATTCATAAATGGACATTAAATGAGATTCATGTACTTTAACTCTTATATTGCCTATAAATAGAGGTAGTTTAACCTCTCTTGTGGCAACTTGTGCTTAAGTTATCTTAGATTTGCAAAACCAACTTCTTACATCCTTCTCTTGTGAAAACTAAACTTAAACTTGCTATAGGCTAGTTTTTGTTTCCATTGTATCTAAGAGGTAATTTACCATCTCAACCCGATTAGCAAGACTTGAAAATTCTCTTGAACTTCCCAAAAATTAGTTTAGTCAAGTTGTTGATATTATTCTTGTAATAACTTTGCAGTAGGTTCATACACTTGTAATTCCCATATTTCTCCAACACATACGTCAATGTGACAAATGAATTAATTTCCCCCAGAGGGAATCTTGGTTTTCTTACAAGGTTAAGAGGGTTGGAAATTGGACCCTTCTCAGAAATCATGGATCTGCATTCGTTCCTAGCCGACCACACCACCACTTGCCCTCCCTTTGGCATTTAAGTTTGTATGAAAACTTCAGCACATGTCCTCCTTTGAAATTCTTGATTTAGAAGTTTTTGCAGTAAAATCATTGCCTGATTGGTTTGGGAAGGTTTCGTGACTTGTACAAGTCGGGCTCGACTATTGTGAAAGGCTAGAGAGTTTACCTTCCAACCAATCAATGAGAAGTCTCACCAAACAAAGATGGCTGCCGATTGAAGGTTGTCACCTTCTACAGGAAAGATGCAATCCAGAGAGCAGCTGCAGCAGCAACGACCCCAATTCTGAGTGGTCCAAGATCTCCCATATTCCTGAAATCACTAGCAAATTGAAGGAGTCTCTATGTAAAGTTCATGATAATGTAAATTTCCCAGTTAAAGATCCTCTGAATTTCTCTATTTATATAAGTTTCTTTCACCATTTTCTCCTCAAACTCTTTCTGCTAAACAATTGCTGCAAAAGATCTTGCTAGCTGCTAAACAATTGTATGTGTGAGAGAGAGAGATTAATATTTTATTTTTCCGGATGACTATTCATTTGTGGACTTTACATGGTGTCCTGCTCTGCCAAATAACTCTTTTCCCTCCTACGTTTACTTGTGGCTGCCCAAGAACTGAGATTTTGGGAGATCAGATGTAGTTTTTGCAGGATACGTTTTCGTGTTTCCTTTTTCATCACTTAAATAATGATGTGATTTATAAATTATGGCTATGTTGTGAATTGCAGCTGAAATTTTTGAAAGTTCAATTTTTCTGAGCAACATGAAGTTTCTTCAATTTTGCTCATCTTGTTTTCTTTCTTCCCTGCTTATGCACTTAGTAGATATATTGCATATCCAGTCCTGGTTTATATCCAGGACATCTTTAAATTCAGTTCTGGACTTTTGTTTTTCCTACTCTGATTTTTTTTAAATTTTAAATTCAGTTCTGGATTGTATCCAGGAGCGAAACTTCTAGGCAAGTAAATCGCTTTTAGCTAAAACAAAGTACTAGAACTTGTTAGCAATCAAGACTATCTTGGCTTGTCTTTCAATATTCTAAGGGAAATTACTATTACCCATGGTTTTGCATTTCACCGCACCATAATGCTCCTATTGTTCAATATTATTCACTTAACCCCCTGTAGTATTCTGTAAAGTGGAAAATAGACAGGGAAATCACCCATAAAGTTGCCATTCATTCAAACTTTTTCAGTTATTAGTGCCTTAAATATCAAGAATTATCAACAAATAGTCAAGCTTGTCTTATGGTTGAACAGTCAAGTAGTACCCTAAAGCAATTTCTTCATATATCTTCCAAATGGAACTTCCAGGTGAAATAACAGGCAATCTGGTATTTTTAATTTTACTGGGTATGCAGTGATTGAACGATGAAGTTTCACATCTTCCTTCTTGCAGCTGAATGCTGATATTACTTGTTTTTCTATAGTTAGCAAACCATAATACTCTGAGGTTGTGCATGCCTTAGTTTTGGAGTTAGTTTTTATCCCCTACTGGGCTATACTTGTCTGTTGAACTATGTTACTAGCTACGAGATTACATTCTTTTATGTTGTTAATTGCCTAATGCAACTGTGGTTTGTCAGACAGTTGCTCTAGTGCTATAGATCTGATGAAGTCTCTACGCATAAGCTATTCTCCCAAGCTTCGGGCTATTACGAGGTTGATGTAAAAGCTAGATTACATGGTTAGTATCTCAAGGTTGCATAAATTTCTCGAGTCTATCTTAAGATATTTCTTATTTTGTGTCTTTAAACCAAATCAGGGTAATGGACTCTACTTGCAGAAGGCCAAATTTTTTGATGTAGGAGGGGTAATGTTTGACGCTAAAACTATACATGAATATGTAATAGATATCTTTCAATCAGGTAGTGAATTTTTGAGGGGAAGGATCTACCCCATTGGCAATACAGTTCATGTGGATGGCAATCTCCTAGTGAAAAGGACTGTCCATGCAAATTTCTTGGAGTTTTTTTTCGAACTCTGCAAAAATCCTTAAGTCCTTTAAATGGGCAAGTCAAATACCTTGATGGTACTTGCAAACAAACTAAAATTAGAAAAACAACAAACAAGTTAAAAAAAAAAAAAGAATGTAAGGACTATTCCTATTGAAATCAGTTTTCTTATAATATTTGAGGGATCTGAACAAGATCGAAAGTCTAGATACATCGTTTAAGATGGCTCGATCCCTTGAATGAAATTTGACTTGGGCTATATTGCAGGTGCACAAGGTTTTCCAGTGGCAGTAACTTGAGATGCTGGGTTCCACCTAAGCTACTTGCACTCTTATGTTAGTATTAACTTCTCAAGAACTAATTCTACCATTTCATTCCTTTAAAAATCAAGCATTGATTTATGTTATTATCTTCTAAGAATTGAATTTTACTAACTCTTTTTATGCTGTACATTATTCATATTTGCTGTGCTTTGGACTCAGCAAGGCTTGGCATAAAATCAGTAACGTGGAATTGGAAACGCTGTTGACTAAGGCCTGATGGTAGCCTACTGTTTTTTGCTCACAAGACACACTGTGAATAGCTAAGGCAAGGCATCTTTTGAGGAACCTTTGCTATATTATCTAAGATTATGCAATGAGGATATGGATCCCAAGATTTAGGTCTTAAATTGGCCCAGTTCAAGTCATCATTTGCAGCTGGACTAGAAAAAGTAGGAAAACTTTTTTACTTGGGGGGATCTGTCTGGGCTCTCTCAAAAGGATGACTCTTGCGCTTTAATTCCAAAATGAGAGGGTTAAGGTACAAGTCTGTGTGAGTGCAATGCTTTCTGCATGGGTTTATTCTCATTGTGCAATTCATTGTCTGATGTCATTTCTTCATATGGTCAAAGGCAATCCTAAGTCTAGTTTGAGAGTCTACATTCACATTGGTGAGTCCCTGGAAAATGTATGAGGAGGACAGATAGAGTTTCTTGAGGCTTAGAGCTCTTGCAGAAGCTGCATGAAAGATGATTCTAGCTGGCTACAGGGATTTTCACTCATGAGGTACTTCTCTTTGTGATGAAGTTATACTGATTCAAGAAAATTTATTTGATTTTCACCGCCACTTCTGATTTATTCATGATTTCATCAAATTTTCATAATCAATAGAATCAAAGAGGTCTTCATGATTGCCATTTATTTTAAACTTGTATGAAATTGTGAATCCCATTGTTTACAAGGTAAATTACAAGGTAATGAACAGACAGATGGATAAGCCAATACATGGGAAAACTCCTGGTTGGATTTTTAAGTCATCATATGTCCTTACTCTTATAATCATGCATATACTTCTGAATCAGCTGCTTTCATTTTTTGGAGTGTAATTATTATTGCTCTTAACCTAGTGATGATCAAAATGCCTTATCGCCTTGTTTGTCTCCATTTAGATGACAAATGCTGCAAATGAGGCTTGTCAGCCCTTTCAAAGAAATATAGCCCGATCGAATTGAGAAGCATTTGTCTGAAGGGTTCTAAGTTGGCACATCTGAAATGCTTGAGTGGTAACTTTCCTACCAATCCATCAGAAGACTCCCTATAGGGTGTGAATCTTCTTATCTGAACGGAAGATGATGTCATGAGGGCAGCTGCGCCAACACTGAGTGGTGTAAGAGTTCAAAGTTTTTTGTACTTTGTGATTGATCATTTTTTAATTGGATACGAAGTTGTCACAATTTGCTCAAATTCTAAGGAACTCTGGTCTACAGCTGTCTCATTCCTTGTTTAACTGATCTTTAGATATAGGCTCTGAGGAGATTTCACATGGCCTCTTGTACATATCATATATTTATCAGTTTATCATCTGCTTCAGTTTAAATTATGCTTCAGATCACTCAACTCTGTGCTACATACTCTGCCTGAGTATATTTCGTAGATTTGAAAAATCTATTTGGAGTTGGGACTTTCTTGGATTATACACTGGGACTGCTTGCTAGAATGATTTTGACACTTACTCTGCAGTTTCCCCTCCACAATAACTTGTCTGCAATATGATCTAAATGATGAGTTGGATTTGCAATATTTCAGTGTCAATTGTATTCTGTATGTTTCTCAGTCAGGAGGGAATTGTTGCACATAAGTGGGGATTGCTTTCACAATAACTAGTCATGGTCATAGAGATTTGTAGATACTCCTTTTGCTCTTTTTTTTTTTTGGATCCCAATTCTTTTTGAAATTCTAAATTCTCTCACCTCAAGTGAAATAAGGAATATATCTAGGAAAAAAGATCATTGGAAGTACCTTTTATTTTAGGATTACTCTTTTAAAGATCATTCAAGGGTCATTAGTATCACTTGAAATTAATATTGTAATCTAATCTTTATTGTGCCTCTGTTATCCCTTTGACTTGCTGAAATGGGCATGGTCACAATGAGATCTTATCTGGCTAGGAACACTTAAAATGTAGTATTACTAACATTTTAGTACTCGTGCAAAGGCCCAAATCCTGTATTATATTATTCAGCATGTGTGTTAAGTTGCAGTTCTACAATCATATGCATAATTATTTTAAAAGAAAATTTACTGAAGTTCATGCTTACGTTTGTTGACTGAACAATTACATGAAAATATTTTTTTAAAAAAAATAGATGGGGATTGATTTTTTTTTTTTTTGGCTTCTAGGAAGGATGCTCATAATGCTCAAGATCATTGGTTTTAATATAATTCTTTCCTTGGGTGGTCAAATAAAATGATAAGTTTACTTCTTCCAAACTTTCAATGTTCAAGAATTGAGATTGTTTAAGACTAATGTTAACGAAAGAAATTTTGGGATATTTTTACAAGTCAACAACTGAAATGTCTTAAAGTTTCTCGTTTTTCTTAAGGCAAGATAAATTTTGTCAACTTAGGGTCTGTTTGTTTGGGTGGAAAAGGTTTTCTGGAAAACATTTTCCATATTTTCCATTGTTTGGTTGTCAATTAATTTGAGAAAATAATCTCTGACAGAAAATAAGTTACATCCATGGGAGGAAAATAATTTCCTTATCTATCATTGTGAAGTTATTTTCCTCAGCCTTCTTTTCACAGCCTCACAAGGATTTTCGACATCAGCAAACCAATCTGAGGGAAAATACCTTTCATTCCCAGCATCTCATCAAGTAAACTACTCCGGCATCTCTCTCTCTCTCTCTCTCTCTCATTTTTTTCCTTTCATTCCCGAAGAACCCCCATTCCCGCTTCCTCCGGCGTCAGTCCTCGGTGGTGATCACCTCCTCCGGCGACACTATCTCAGCGGCTACCACTACATAATCTATACACTCACAAGTCATTTTCATTCGGCAGGTTTTTTTAACTTTCAGTTTCTCGTCTTCATGCACAAACACCTTCACTGCGTCTGTATATACAATTGCACACAAATTTCATCTGTTTCCTTTCGAAGTTGGATTTGAATGACATTTTGTGGGTTGCTTTTGTTTTAGTTTGTTCTTACCTGATTAGGGTTAAATCTGATTTGATTGATGCTAATGAATTAATTTGGCTGCTGAGTTTTGGGGGTTTTATGATTCTTGGAATCCGAATCCGGGTAGGGTAGGGTAGTGTTTTTCTTACAATCTGGTGAGACCATTTCTGACAAGATTTCACTGGGGTACCACTAGAAGACAATTGGATACTTTTTCTTTTTCGGTTGAAGTTCCTGTACCCCTTTTGATGTTGGAATTAGATTGATTTCAATAACTAGCTTGAGTTTGCTGCTTTTGGGTAAACACCCGCTGATAACAAGTGCCATTATTTACTTCCCATTTGCCCCGGTGATGATTGTGTTTCATGTTGCTGATTGGGATATGGAGGAATTCTGTCTTGGATTCCTTTTGGGCGAGCTTGAAGTGCAGCCTTCTCTGTATAATTTCATTTGTCTATTCTTCTCTTGTGAATTCTTCTCTGGTTTTTTGAGACTTTATTCTTCGACTGCCGGTAGTGTTTTTCTTACAATCTGGTGAGACCATTTGTAAATAGTTGACAAAATCTGATTAGGGAGGAAAACAGTTTGCTTGTGTTCATCCCAGAGAGCAGTAAACTTTTTATAAAAAAGATTCCATGTGTCTTCCACGACTCAACTATTAGCTGCTTAAATCCATTATGACAGTTTGTAAGACCACAAATTGTGTTTGATAGGAGCTATGCTTTATGAAAAAGAAGATATGAAAAAAGAGAAGCAATGAGTTCACTGTTTGCTGACAAAATCATTTTAGACTTCAAATAGGTAGGCATCTGTCAGACTAACCCATCAATAATTGTAAACAATCGCCACCTTGTTTCTCCAGTTTGTTTTCCATGTCATTCCGTGCATAAATTGAATAAACTCTCTGTAGATTTGTCCTGAAATTTTGTGGTTGTCTGAGTGTATACATGCACCTGTCTGATGTGGTCGGTGAATCTAGTTCCAAGTTTCAATGCTATGTAGAGTTGAAGAAGCAAGTCCAGCATTATTAGGATTATTTCATCAGATTTTGTCATAGTCTTGAAACTCATCCAGTAAGTTAAGTCTTTATCCTTTTGTAAAGTCGTTACCTTCTTGGGAAGTTTAGATGGCTGAGGTTTTCTCAATCATGATTGCTGAACATTCTTCTACTGACAGTACAACGTCTGCCAATTTTGCATTCTCTCTTTCCACCACCATTTCATTAGTTGATAGTTAAAGGCATAAAGCTACTTGGATTTGTCTTCGTGAGGCTGAGCCAATTGGAACTAGCACTCAGAAAGCAGTGATGGTGGTGATATATATGATCCTGGGTTCAAACATGTGGAGTTTGGGAAGAAGTCTTTTTTTCTAGAATTACTGTTATTGCAAATGGTATATTACAGACAACCTGTAATTGCACTTAAAGTTCTGAATCAATAATTCCACTGGATTTCACTTCCATTGTTCCTATTTCGGTATTATGTGTAGCCCAAGTAATAATCTTCCACGAAGATTGATAAAAACCTCTTATTTTATCAGTATTCCTTGCTGAAGCTAAAGATAAGTGTTGATCCCAAGATTGTCACTTGGGAGTACAGTAGATTATTCATTTTGCAACATCTGCAAGAGATTGCATGAAGCATAGCTCCTATCAAGACTACTTACTGCATGAAAAGTCACTTACCCGTCTGTGTTTTACATTTTGCAGAGGGTGATGCTGTATATATGAAGATGACTATCATCGTGTTTGGCCTTGTTAGAGCCAGGAAAGAGATTGCATGTGTGTGAACTTTACTTTGAGTAATTAGTTGGGTAGTTTAGTCCCTTTCTCTTGTAATCAAATATGCGAGGCTGCTGTTTCATTGTCTAATTATCAAATTTGGTTGGATTCTTGGAATTGTATTATGATTGTGAGACTTATTATGGATGCTAGAATTGCTAATTATCTTGTGATGCAGGTTATATAATACAGCTAGTTTTCTTTTGATTTTTAACTCTTCTTTCCCAGCCAATTCATTAGTATCATTAATAATTCCATTTAAGAACTCATGGTGTAATATAAATATATATTTTATAGAAATGATAATATGATTATAATGGATAGAAACTAAAATTAACTTGCAATGAAATAAATGTTTTGAGAGTAGAAAAATATTTGTAACATATCAACGAACATATCAGAAAATATTTTTATTGACAAACCAAACACTGGAAAATTATGAAAAAAGGAATTTGAAAAGTATTTTCACTTAATAATCAAATATCGGAAAATTATGGGGAAGGAAGTGATTTTTCAGGAATGCAAAACACACAAAGCAAATAAAGTAAATAGAGACCTAAACTATTACATTTGGGGCCCAGCTACAATCTAAAAGGGGGAAAAGAATTTCAGTCCAACCAAACGGACCCTTAGTGCTTCGGATTCGTTATTTTTTGCTGCTTATCCCATATTTCTTTTCTATACTTAGCTCAAGTACATGGACTACGTAGTACGTATCAGCCTTTCGCTCAAGCACAGTGTAGCTTTTAAGCAATCAGACTGTTCGACTTCTTCTGAAATTCAAAAAGCGTTAAATTTCGTATGGATGATTGTCTATCAAAATATTTTACAGCACAAGATGCATGCAACTTACCATTAACACTTAGGAATCATTCTTCATGGCTTATCCTTTATCTCATGTATTCATGTTCGGTATGTTTAATCTGGCTTCTAGCTGGAAATTTATTGATGCAACACGAATGTGACTTTTTAACGGGTAGAATGGACGGGAAATTGCATAATACACCATAAGTTATTAAACCCGACTTGACCCAATGACTTGGGCATCAGACTGGACTAGGTCTCTAGTTTGATTAGGTAAGGAATTAATCCGATCAAACCCAAACAAACCTGTTTAACCCGATAGTTGAACTAGGAATCGTTCGATTTTCCAATTGACTCTCTCTCTCTCTCTCTCTCCACAATTGTGGGTCTTTGTTTTTGGCTTTTGATAAGATTTGAATATTGGATCATCATTTAAATGTACATAAGACTTTACCACTCCCTTAGATTTATTTGATAACTAAATGTTTTTAAATACATTTTCTTACCTTTTTAATTATTCAATTAATCCTTTTAACTTTCAAAATGACAATATTTGAATAGTTAAAAAATTACTTTATTTCTAAACAAAAATAAAATAATGAAAAAATAATGTTATATTTTTTAATAGGAAAAAATGCACTTTTCATCCTCAATATTTAAGGTGTTAACCAATTTCATCCCTAAAGTTTCGTTCCAAATATATTTCATCCTCATAGTTTTATAATTTTGACCAATTTTGTCCCTAAAGTTTATGTAAAACACATTTCATCCCCTTGTTGGTTTATAATCCCCTAAAGTTTAGCACAATTTTGCAAAGAAATAGCCCACTTGTTTCTCGAGAAGCTCAGCCGGAGTTCAGCCAGTCACTCCCACTGCCTCTCCCTCTTGTTGGTTTATAATCCGAGAGTAAAAAAACCAAAGTGACAGAAGGTTTTTGACTTTTCCAGGGCCTCTATAACTAGAGAAGCTCCTTCTCCTCCTCTTGTTGTTGTTTTGACTTTGTCTTATTAGACAAGTGGTAACCTAAGCAAGAGAGATTGTACTTTAATTCCATTAACAACTACTTATGAGTCTTTTTTTGGTTTCTATCAATTGAGGACAATTAAATGATTGTTAACCAATTTGTACATAATATGATCACATGTCCCATTAGTAATTGTATTATTCATACTTAATTCAGTTATTGATTAAATTATAAAAATAACAAGTGTTTTTTATAGGAGATTATCTCTTTGTTTTTTAACATTATGATATGATGTATTTGAGATAAAACAAATAGATTGAAAGATAAATAGATGATTGAAAAATGTGTACATGATGCAACTGTTGGTGCAAAATACATAGCAATAAAACAAAATTTTGCAAATAAATGACAATCCAAACCATTATTTCTTTCACAATAATATTTTTTCCAATTAGTTGTAATGGGATTGTTCGGCATTTTTTTCCAATTGGCTATAGTGAGGTTGTTTGTTTTCCACTTCTTTTTCTTTAGATCTTCTTGTTCGATTGTGATTAAGAAGAAAATAATGGTGGCTAAAAATTTCTTAGGTTTTTTTGGCACTAAAACAAGAAAGTGAAATAAGAAAAGATTTTTAAACTCTTTGTGGATCCAGTTTTTTTTTTTTACTAATGGGCATGCTATGTTCAAGTGACTATATTCTATTTAAAATCCTTGACAATCCATCAATTGTCCTCAATTAGCCAAATCTATTAAACTATGAGGATGAAATGTGTTTGTGTGAAATTTTAAGGATGAAATTAGTCAAATTATAAAATTACAAGGATGAAATATGTTTTGCATGAAACTTTAGGGACGAAAATTTTAACACCTTAAACATTAGGGATGAATAATGCATTTTTCCCCTTTTTAAAACAAGTGATACAATTTTGTTTTATATTTGACTATATTATTTATTTATGTAAAAGTATGGTAAAATGAAATTAAATCCTCTATTAATATCTATATATTCATTATCTTTTTTTTTAAATTCAATAATTAGTATCTACTTTTACATAAAATGAAATTAAATCCTCTATTAATATCTATATATTCATTATCTTTTTTTTAAAATTCAATAATTAGTATCTAAAAGCACTTTATTAGATATTTCACGTGTATTAAAATTACTATTTTATATTTATAAATATTAAATCAATACTTACAAGTTCAATGAATGATCCACTGATTGAATCAGTGACCCAGTGACCCAAACCCTTTACTGGGTTCCTTATCAGGTTGGATTTAATAACTACATTATAGTATTTTCGAGGAGTTTTATAGTTCCTTTTGGATGTTATAACCGTAAGTTCAATTTCACTGTTAGATATATAAAAGGAATTTGTCACCCTTTGGATGACATTAAAAGTTTAATCATTGAATAATGTGGCAAGAGTTAATAGACAATTAGATTATAATCATAGGTAAAGTACCTAAAAAGATGGGAGAGTGATAGGTTGGATGTTTCGAGGGAGGAAATGTAAGTGAGAAGTCTTAGTTCAATCCCTTTTACATACACTTAAACAAATTAAACAAATGATTAAAAAATACAAAAAATACCTAAAAAGGACTATTGGAATTTTCAATCATTTTCATCACTTTCAATGGTTGCTATATTAATGACTTTTTTTTTTTATTTTCACATAGTCACAGACCTGCACTGTAACACGATGTCTTGATCTTTCCATTAGAGGATTTGCTCATCTCAATTGCTCACTCTCTCTCAAAAAAGGAGTAGCATGGAGTGCCCTTATTAAACCCGATCCGACCCAGCAATGAACTACACGATCTGGACAGCCACTAGGTCTAGCTGGACCCTTAATTGACCATATAAAGAACAACTTGCTCAAACTCATTTGACCTCACCCAGGAACTTGGTCGCCCAGTGCTTACAAAGCTGAGGAAATCTTCTGGGCACAAAAGGCAAGGAGCAGATGGCTCAATGAAGGAGACAAGAATACAGCTTACTTTCATACTTGCATGAAGACAAGAAGGAAAAGAAATAAAATAACCAGCTTGCAAAAAGGAAATGGCGAATGGTGTACAGATAACCAACAAATCATCCAGAAGATTTACAGGTACTATGAAGACATGTACACCATATCTCAGCCACAAAATATGGAAGAAGTGCTAGAAGGGGTGCCTGTATCAATTACAAGCAGGCTAATTCAGAATTTGATACAACTTGTGGACGAAAATGAGGTTAGAGCAGCTGTGTTCTCCATGCACCCAAATAAAGCACCTGGACCTGATGGTATGACACCCTTATTTTTTCAAAGATATTGGCATACTATTAAAACTGATGTGGTGTCCGCTATTCAAAGCTTTTTGAGTAATGGCCATCTTTTGAAGAGCATAAATGAGACTAGTAGAACCCTCATTCCTAAGGTAGATAATCCTATATCTCTACCAAACTATAGGCCAATTAGTCTTTGTAATGCGCTCTATAGAATCATAGCAAAAATTTTGGCCAATAGACTGAAAAAAGTTATCGCCTTATGCATTAGCTATTCTCATTCAGCTTTCGTACCTAGTAGATAGATTGTGGATAATATCATTTTGGCCCATGAATCATGCATTTTTTAAAAAATAAAAGGACGGGTAATACTGCTTTTATGACCCTCAAACTTGACATGTCAAAGGCTTATGACCGAGTGGAATGGAAATTTGTGGGCAGAATGATGCTAAATATGGATTTTTGTCCTATATTTGTAAGATGGATTATGAACTGCATGTTGTCAATGACCTATTCTTTCAATTTTAATGGGGAGAGGGTAGGGTATGTGAAGCCTAGTAGAGGTATTAGACAGGGAGATCCCTTGTCCCCTTATCTTTTTTTGTTCTGTTCGGAAGGATTATCCAGTCTCATGGCAAAGGCAATTGAAGATAGGCAGATCACAGGTCTCAAAGTGAGTAGGAATGGACCTGCTTTTATCCCATTTATTCTTTGCAGACGACTCCTTAATTGTTGTAAAGCACACCCACAGGAAGCTAGAGCCATGCAAAGGATTCTTGCAAAGTATGAAATAGCCTCAGGATAGTGCATCAACTATGACAAATCTGCTGCTATACAAAGGAGGCAGAGCTATGAGCAGATGAACAACATCAAAGAGGCAAACAGTGGCAAATACTTGGGACTCCTCTTAGTGATAACAGGATCAAAGAAGCAAGTCTTCACCTACATTGTTGATAAAGCAAGATCCAAAATGCAAGGATGGAAGCACAATCTACTCAGCTATGTAGGAAAAGAGGTACTCCTCAAGTCGGTTATTATGGCATTACCCACTTACACAATGTCATGCTGCAGGTTGCCTAAAGGACTGTGTGCAGAAATATGTGGCCACATGGCAAAATTCTGGAGAGGCCAAAATGAAGAGGAAAGGAAGATGCAATGGATAAGTTGGGAG